GAGGCTGTGGCCTGCACTGTCGATTTTTGTTATCTACTCCCATTTCGATAATTTGGCTGGTTAAAACAAAATTTATCTTCTGTACATATCATTGTTTAAGTTGAAGTTCAGGTAATGATCAACTGTAGTTCGACAATAAACTTATTATACACAAGAAGATGTACAAGTGGTATAAGTGCAAATACGACAACTGTACATCAAGGAACAATGTATAAAAATTTAACAATTATAGGTCAACGTACGGCCTTTAACATGGAACATTATCTCACATCGAACAGCAAGCTATAAAGAGCCCCAAGATATATTCATCGCACTGCAGTTGAAAACTGCCTTACTATAACATAATACAAAGGTAAAGATAAACAAAATTGTAAGGAAACATGGAATTAATGTTTTACAGTTTTACTAGCAGAATAAAAAGCTGAATGCAAGTGTTTTCGGATCTTCGTGCTATAAAATAACCCTTACAACTAAAAGTCAATAAAATAGTTTAGTAGGATCATAGTACTATGATTTAAACACATTAAACATAACCAGTCCGGTATTTTTGGTTAAACGCTATAAAACTTCCGGCATTTTTATTTAAGAATTTGTACAAAATTATAAAACGTGATATTTAGCTTGGGGGATATCCTCTTAATTTAATGAAATCATCGGTTCTTTTCAATTAAAACCAAATTACGTGTCTGATAGAAATCTAATACACATATTTGTGTATCATAGCATTTGTTAGATCTGCTTTTTAATAAGTTTTCACTTAAAATTTCATTTTAAACAAATATGAAAAAGTGACATATTGGGGAATAAATGTTAAAAACATTAAAAGTAACCCGTTATATAGAGTGATACTTTAATTAGATAATACTTTAGTAAAAGGCAAATATAATTCATTTTTCTCCGTCTTAGACAAATTCTAATCAAAGCGAAATTAATCAAAAGAAAAAAAGGACAATTTAAAAACAAATGAGCACCTATGTGAATTGATATCCTCTCAAGATTCTTAGATAACTATTTTGCGTTTAATATTATCAGATTTTTTAAATGGCAATTTTTTTATATCAGATGTATTACAATGAATCAGCCTAAGAGCCGAAGGTTCGAAGGCTGGTGTTGACCGAGGGCTCATAATACATCTGCTATGACAAATGACATGTTATGATATTTTCATCATATGCTTTAACAATGGAGAAGAATAACAGTTTAATATATGTATCCTTTTAAGTGGTTCTCAAGTAGAAGTTCAAAAAGTGATAAGTTTACGGACGTCGGATGTAGTACATCCGATAGGAAATCTTTCTATATTATGCCGCAACAGTGGAGAAAAACAACAGTACGATATATTGTTATGTTGGCGATTAAAAAAAATCATCAACACATACTGAACACTGTTTGGAAAAGTCAACATTTATAAAGTTACTTTCCAAATTATGCTTTAAACTTTTAAAAATGCATTTATTGTATTATTTGTTTGTTTGTTGTTTTTGTTTTTTGTTTGCATTCTACAAAATACATTTTCCCGTTTCGTAATTATTGATTTGTACCCTTCTTTAGTTGTTTTTGTTTTTTTTTTCACTGAAAACGTACCATTGAGGTGTATTTTCCGGAATTTGCCGACTATCACCGGAATGCCACGCGATAACGTTACGGAAAGGCATGTGATAAAAGTCGAAGCATGTGATAAATGTTTCTAAAAACCATTTAGGAAAATATTGAATTCAAGTAAATGTAATGTAATTATCATACTGCAAACATTATAAGTTAATCACTCTAAGTATATCATGTATATGATAACAGTATTTATTGAAAGGAAAAACGGAAAACCACATGAATTAAAAAAGTTAAAGTTTAAACTGTATGATTAAGTCACGTGAATATTTTGATGTTCGAGAAGATATTTTGAAAGTAACCACTTTCTTATCGACAGTCGTTATGTTAAGTTTTTTTTAAATTTTCATGTTTGTTTATGATTAGTAATGTTGATTTTAACATTACATTTAATAATATCATTCAATATATTTCCTTTTCTTGTGTCAAAAGTATACAACATGTATCTCAAAGGAGAGTGTTTCGATCTTTTGGATTTTAACACAGGTTTCCAACCTTTCACACTATTTTTTTCTATTCTTAGTGTTGTTTGATCAATTATTTTGTTTCATGTGGTTGTACCTGGCAGATGTGTGATTCCAATGCATTAATAAAAAAATAGCATGGTTTCTTTATGCATACATACATTTGCTTATAAGCTGTGTGCATGTAAGTTTATTAATTGCTTTAACTGTCTCAACTTGCAAATAAATGACAAAAACAATATTTTTAAGTTTTGTTTTTTAGAATTGCAAGGTATTCGGTACAATGTAGCATGTAAACTTATGATATAATATGATTATGTCATCAGATGAACATACCAAGAATTTAAAGAGAAATATCAAATATGACGTATCATTAGAGAAAAGCAAAAAGTTGATCTTAATTTTTTAAAAGTAACTAAAACTTAAGATTTATTTTTATATTAAGATATAAATAATAAACAATGTGTTTGTACTATCAATGTTACTGTGGATTCATTTATTTTCGTGGGTACTTATTTACGTGGATCAAGGAAAAATTACATATTCGTTGATATTTAATTCGTGGTTTTGCCAAAGTCTGCATACAAGCCTGTATAGAAAATTTGTTATTGGTTGAAAATTTAATTTTGTGGTTCGCCTGTATCAAAGAAATCCACAAAAATTGGTATGTAACGAACAACAATGAATCCACAGTAGAGTATTTGATATGATATATATTGGAATATAAGTAACCGTCTTTGTGTACACTTGTGTACACCACATCGGACATCACAAACATGAATTTGAGCTGTATTTTTAGTTCATATGCATTTTTTTTACTACTGATACTAGCAGTTAAATTGTAAAAACTGCTTTATTTCATCGTATCACTTAAACAATTCAACAAATAAAACTGTTAACATGGACATCTCACTCTATTGTATTAATTTTGGAAACATACATGTACAATGATGAAACAATACAGTTTCTGAAGGACGATCAAATATAAAACAAACAATGACATGTCCTTTTTTACACAAATAGCACAGTAACACATAAATACAGAATTCTTAATCAATCATAGGAACCATCACAAACACATGAACCAATGTATACTTAAATAAGGGTTTTTTTTTGGAGCAGACACTGCATTCCATGAGCTTTTTAGGGAAATGAAAAAAATAATACACGTATAAAAGGACATATAATGAAGTATAGAATCGAAAATGTCTTGTGAAAGAAGCACAAACCTATTAGAACTTATACCAGGCATGTGATGAGGTATATATAGAATCGTAAATATATCTTGCAAAATCTCTGTTAAAACGGTAAAACAGTCCTTGGCCACACACAGAAGGTATTTTGTTTTATTGGTGTCTATTTATCATTTTTTCTAACTACTGTTAACTATTTTTAATGTGTGTATAAAATGGTAGATAAACTGAAAAATGCAAAACACAAAGTCGCAAACTACAATAACTACTGTAAATGTAATTGTGAGTACAAAAAAATATTTTACAAACCAATGGTTGACTGTACAATCGATGATTAATTATAATTTTAATGTACAATAAGACTATTATATAAGTGTTAGATGTACAATTTATGATAAAATGTAACCCTGGCAACCTAACTTTAGCGTAATGTTACAAAACTGTCTTTCAGTTTCAGGGCATTACGTTAACATGTTACAGATTATTATTCAGAGAAGCACGCAGACGCACAAATGTTACATTATTGTGTTACAGTTTACAAAATCAATACAACTATACAGTATACATTTTTTGTATTGGTATCAGTAGGTAAATTGTTCGTGTAACAGGTCTAATCGACAAAATTATGATCTTTACGAGAATATTCCTTATCACAGCTTTTGTTGTCATGACTAGCTCAATGAAGTCACAGATTAGGGAAAATATCTTATGACCAAAAACCATCGCCATTCTCAGGTGAATGTAAAGTTTAGAATATTAGATAAACATACTTATGATTAAAAAAAGAACGTTTGACAGAGTACCAGATTTTATAAAAATATTATTATGGTATTATGTGGCGTTTTTAATACAGACGTCGAAACAGTGACTTTCTATTCATGCAAAAAGTAAAATAAAAAAAATAATGAACACCGAGGAAGAAACATTGAAATGTGATTTGGTGTTTCGTATATGATACAAACTAGTTATTAAAAACTTTAATTCTATGAAACTCAACCTTTCACATTTAATAGACTTTACTTGTTTTATAGAACAAACACATAAACTTCAGAATTTATACTTTATTTAATGTGTGGTCGAAGTTTGCATACATATGTCGGAGCTGTTAATAGCTTGCTATATACATGATATAGTGTGTGTTTTCTCAATGTTGAAGACCGTACGGTGACTTATAATTGCTTTGATCCTCATCATATGAACCCTACTTGAGAGCTACATCATTGGCAATTATACAATATCTCTTTCATTTTTGTTATATTTAATGCATTTGCAAAGTTATATTTTTTAGTTGAGATTTATCCGTGTAAAAGGAAATTATTAAATTTAGAAAAGGTCCCGACACCTTTATGAATGTTGTTCTACATTATTAAAATCAAATATGTTAAGCATGTAAAGATTGCCCCCCCCCCCCCCCCCCCCCAAAAAAAAAAAATACACATGATTCCCAAAACATATATCAAGGAAAAATATTTGAACAAAATGACAATATGCTTGATACCATAGAATAACTATCAACTTGAGTAATATATATACGTGCAAGTATCTATGATGAGTTTATATACAATATTTATTTTGACTTTTTCGCACAGACATTGTAATATTGCTCCAAATATAAAGAAATGTATAGATACATCGAACTTATATCATAAAAATTGTAAGCTATAAAGACTTTCATGACTTTCCTGCGCACTGTAACTTTTTATCGTCATGGCAGAAATTTGTATTCTTTTTTTTCTCAGGAAGGTTTCACTATAGACCAACAAATATGAGCAATGAATGTTGTTCGGGTAAGACATATGATTTTTACATGTTTAGCTTTGCCATGTTGGGAAAATTATTAATAAAGGTATAGGCAATGTACATGTAGAAGTGTTATGTGGCATCGCATCTTGTTAATGGATGGTTACAGTAATGCAGTGTACAAACAAATTTAAAAACAGTTATTGAAACTAGGCATACAGTATCATATCATAGAATTCAAAGACAGTTATATTCACCATTCATTAATGTGGATCGATCGTGTAACGCCTTTTTCCAATCAATGGACGTACTATTTAAATTACTGTATGTGATATTAGAATGAAAGCTGTAAAAAACTTTGAAGACTTTAAAACAAGTTTTGCTGATATATTTTTGGAACATTACGTTTGGATTTTGATTTATCAAAGAAATTGACATGGTCTTGATAAACATGATAAAAAAGTATAAATTTTTGAAAAATAAATCTTTCATCTTTTTCGAACTGTAAAAATCCGTCGTCTTTATTAATCTTTCTATTCTTCTCTTTTTTTTAACTTTAGTAAATAAATAAAATTCTTATACTTAAAATGATAAAACTTTCCTCTGTTTTGTTAACTTCAAATAACATCGATTTTTCACAAAGCGAGTTAATTCAAACTGAATTTCGTTATTCATCATTAAAGGACAAACTGCTGTCCTGCATCTTTTTCATTATTATATTGGGAAAAGCCTGGAGAGAAATTTTATAGATCGCTGATTTTTGTTCAAACGATGTCATAAAAACGTCAGTAATCTAGGATCTGTAGGGATACGTAATTAATTACAAATGTAGAATGCACTGCCAAACTACATAACCTGTTCCATGTTCTTTATGTTCTAGTGATCAAGCCTAAAGACTGTGGAGATATAGATCCAGCACATTGTAAAAGTGGAGTATATACGATCTATCCGGTTGGAACCAGACCATTTGATGTATATTGCAAGCTTATTAACCAAGGGAAGGCTTGGACAGTAAGTTATTTTGTATAGAATGTATACAGTACAAACTCATTGTTTCTTATTCTGAATGTATACTTTCATTGTTCGTATATTAAAGATGAATAATTTGAGGCAATTGTCATACTATCCATTAGTAAGGATGTACTTAGGTGAGGTTTAGGATTTTGTGTTAGATGACTACTTGTCTTTTCCCTAAGATACAGGGTAAAACGTTTGCTCCATAACACCCATTTTTCTTTTCATATAAGACTTCAGTAGCTGGTAAAAGGTCATTTACCAAACTTAAAGTAAATCCTAGATATTTTCTTTTGATTTGAGACCCAAAAAATACCAAATGAATGCAAATATAAGGTAAAAGTCAGTCTTTTCCAGCAATTATTTAATAAACAAATATCTCAAAAAGGGGCTCCAAAAACAATCAACAATTTTAGCTTATCTTGTTTCTTAACTAATTCTCTTCTGACTTATAGTATAAGATATATACAAAAAGATTAACAGCATTTACCAACGTATTGACGAGTCAAACAGATCAATTTACCACAAGAAAGCCCAGACCTCCAAGAAATAGACGAACAGTGACAAATATCAAAACATTTCCTGTTTAACTTACAGTGTAGCTTATAAACTCATCAGGTGGGCGTTTTGTTTTCAATGGTATCTTCAATGCTGCACGAATAGAACAGTTAGTAAAGCAAAATAGAGTATGAAAATAATGATTACTGAGAACCCACACTTATAAAAGATTTTATCAAATACAACAATGGTAATCTAATCCGAAGGTAGAACATTCTAAATGTTTTTGAAAAATTTAAATTTCTGTAAACATGTGTACACGTAAACACTTTATAATTATGAACATATCAAAAATAATGCGTATCAACACATAAATAAATGTTATTAATATTTCAGGTTATTCAAAGAAGATTCAACGGAAGGACAAGTTTCAATAAAACATGGAAAGACTATGAACATGGGTTTGGTAATATTAACGGTGAACACTGGCTTGGTAGGTTTAACCTAAGCAGATACATTTACTGCTCCATACACTATGTTATTTTATAAGTGTCATGAAGAATATAAGTAATGAGAATGGGGATCACATATCATTTATATATATTGAAATCTTTAACCCTTGTGTTATGTGCAATTTATCTGAACATACTAATTTTGTAGTTAATGACAACATACATGTTTCAACCTCCAAAGGTAACTCTGAATTGAGGATACACCTTGGGGATTTCGACGGAGAAACCAGATATGCTTTATACAGGAAATTTTCTGTTGGAGATGCAAAATCAAAATACAAACTGGCAATTAGTGGTTATAGTGGAAATTCTGGTAGGTACTTCATTAAATCTGTAAACGTGAAAATATTTTTCATCCCTAGAGGTTTTAGTCTCAGCAATTCGGTCTCTGAAAAGTTTCAAAGTTAATGACTAGATACCTGGAATACTTGTGTTGAAAAAAATAAAATACGAAAGCTTATTAGGGTCACAAAAAAAAAATTATCTCGTAATTACGAGAAAACTATCGCGTAATTACGAGAAAAGAAGTCTTTTATCTCGTAATTTCGAGATAATTATCGCGTAATTACGAGATAACTATCACGTAATTACGAGATAATTATCGCGTAATTACGAGATAATCATTTTTTTACAAACATTAACGGTATATTGGAATTATATAAAAAATATTGCAAATTATTCATGCAAAGAACTTTTATATTTAGGTAGTCAATGACAAAAATCAAGGCACCCCCCTCCTCCTCGTTGGTAATGATAATAAATCCTCTTCCATTCTGACACTTTTTATTTGCAAATAGGTCGTTTAGCACTTATTCGACCAACTGAATTTTACTAGTATATTGAATTGGTGCCTTAAAATATGTTAACAAGAGGTACAACTCTTTGCTTTTGGATAAAAAAGTTGATAATCTTATCGACTTTTTTGTAAACGATATATACAGAGCGAAATTGGGTAAATGTCCCCTATAACAAGCTAATTCAAAAATGTAATATAAGATAAAGATAAAGGAGTTTTCATAACCCGTTCTCTTTGCGCTGTAGCATTTATACATTTAACAAAGCAAAAAGCTTCTTTTGTTACTACAAAGGCTCCCTCAACATGTTGATAAATTTCTAAAATATTGTTATATTTCTTCTTATTTCTTACGAAATTCGTATTTTGTTGACTATTTTCGCGATAAAGATAAATGAAATTTACCCAAAAAAAAAAACAACATTCGGTGAAGGGAGGGGAAGGGAAGGGGGGGGGGGGGCATATTATAATTATAACTAACAAGAAAGAGAGTAAAATAGTTATTATATCTCTTCGTATTGAACACATAAGAGTTCGAATACTTGCCCCCGCCTAAATGCTTGTAAGACTCGCAACCTTTCTAAAAACACTTGGTCATGAGGGGATCTACTTTCAACTTTTTCTTCTGTTTTTCCTGGTGCTCTTCGATAGGACTTAGTTTAAACAGGAACCAATGACAGTTGTATTTTACTTCCTCTGAAATTCTTGTGCCAACTTAAAACAAACTTTCTATTTTGCAATAGTAATAGTTTTATCCAGACACCGGTGACAAGCTCATTTGAGCCTATGGTATACTATGTGTTTACGTCTATGAGCACATATTAAAAATCTTGTAGATTTGGACACGCAAACACATGATGTAGTCAATCGGCTATAGTATATAGGCTTTTTAGAGGTGTTTTACGGATATGACTTAATTCATCGCTTCCTTTTTACGCAATTAATTTATAAAATCTTTTTTTATGTTTTAATAAGTGGCCAATAATATAAATTATCTAACTAAAAAGTTAATGAAAAAAGAACTTAAATTTCATTCAAATCGATTAAAAAATACATCTTTTACTTTCTATAACAACCTTTTTACGACTATATAAAATTGAGAATGGAAATGGGGAATGTGTCAAAGAGACAACAACCCGACCATAGAACAGACAACAGCAGAAGGTCACCAACAGGTCTTCAATGCAGCGAGAAATTCCCGCACCCGGAGGCGTCCTTCAGCTGGCCCCTAAACAAATATATATACTAGTTCAGTGATAATGAATGCCATACTAAACTCCAAATTGTACACAAGAAACTAAAATTAAAAATAATACAAGACTAACAAAGGCTAGAGGCTCCTGACTTGGGACAGGCGCAAAAATATATATATATGTAATTTTATTTCGTAATAACGCGATAATTATCTCGTAATTACGAGATAAAAAAATCTTAACTCGTAATTACGCGATAGTTTTCTCGAAATTACGCGATGATTATGTCGTAATTACGAGATAAAAAATTATTATCTCGTTATTACGCGATAGTTATCTCGTAATAACGAGATAATTATCTCGTAATTACGCGATAGTTTTCTCGTAATTACGCGATAGTTTTCTCGTAATTACGCGATAAATATTTTTTTTTGTGACCCTAATAGGCTTTCGTACTCAAACGAATGAATTCATATTTAGTTTTCCTGAATTGTTTAGTAACTATTGCTAATTTTGACAACAATTTACACACACAAATGCAAAAGAAAAGAACGATACATGCCACATGGCAGGTCTGCATTATCAACAAGTTGAAGTGGTGATTGGTTATCAATATCATAATCGAATTTAATAAGGTTGTGGTATTTCGTTCAGTCGCCATGCAATCACTACATGATAACTAAATGTTATTTTCTTTTCCTTGTTTCAAATTGTAAAATATGGAGAATCTCTTTAAATATTTCAAAACAAATTGTATTTATAATGCAACTAATTAAAAAACGGCAAATAATGAAGCAATAAAACTATACAAATGTATAATGCTTACACATATGAAGGTCAAATTTAAAATGTGCATGTTATAAGTTTTCACGAATGTGACCTACCGAATAAGACTATTTACTGGACTTGCAATAACATGAGCAACACGACGGGTGCTACATGTGAAGCAGGATCTGCTTACCCTTCCAGAGTACCTGAGATCACCCACAATTTTTGGTGGGGTTAGTGTTGCTTAGTCTTTAGTTTTCTATGTAGTGGTTTGTGTACTATTATCTATCTGTTTGTTTTTTTATTTGTTAGCCATGGCGTTGTCAGTTTATTTTTGATCTATGAGTTTGACTGTCCCTCTGGTATCTTTCACCCCTCTTTTGAAAAAAACTGTGTTGAGAATTATACAATCCAATGTTATGTGTGTCTGTTACAGGAGACTGCCTATACCGCCATAATGACAAAATTTTCTCTATTCCTGATGAGGACAATGATACCCACAAGGAAGGAAACTGTGCAGATTATAGCAAGGCAGGGTACTGATACTACAAATGTTCTCAGTCGAATCTAAATGGGGCCTACCTATATAGTGAAACCAAACATAAAAATCAAGGAATTAAATGGCCTTGTTGGAGAGGACACATGTATTCTTTGAGATCAACCACATTAATGATACGTACAATATAAATAAAAAGATACATGATACATTGATTTATATCTGTATTTCGTTGTAAATTTAACGTCATATTATTATAGTAGGGTGTCGTTCTCCATCTTGGATTGTAAATTACAGATAACCAAAGGTCAAGATTTTCAATCAATTTAGCAAAATTCAATGTAGGAATGCAGATAACTAAATTGTGAATTTTTATTTAAAAGAACACATTTATAAGATTTAAACTTATGAATATTAATATTTTTTCAAGCGTAGATCATTTTTGCTTGATTTTTAATATTTTTACATCGGCATAAAATGGCATAAAAGGGGAGGTAACGTCAATTGTGCATTATTTGACGGAATCTACTTGCAATTTTGACATTGTATATTTTAGCCGAAAAAAAAACGTACAGTGACCCTATCTTTTCTTTTGATAGTCTCAAAGCATTTTCTAAAAGCTATCTTCTCGTATTTTATTTTACAATTCTATCATTTAGTTTAGCTTCTAATCACATAAGAATGCTTGTTATTGTATAATCCATACAAAATGTGTCATTTTGTCACAACTTTTAGCTTGAGAAAACTAAAGTTTTATTATCTATTTACGTTTGACATATCACAGTATATACTACGCTTTGGCAACGTACGAACAATAAAAGTTGAAATGTATCATATTTCAATATGTTTAAGCTACTGTAACAGTGAATCATGTACTTTTTTACCAATAAGAATTGCCAATATTGATCCGTTACATAGAATCTTAAAAAAAAGGAACAGCACCTTTCAATGTCCTTATATTTTATTCTCATATATGATCATGATGATGATGGTTTCCAGTCACTCTAAAACCTCCATTAATCCGATATCAATTGAGTTTGAGAATATCATCGAAACTAGACGGTTTGCTTCATGTATAGATATTGTGCTCGATATTGACACAGAACAACGACTTCAAACTAGAATCTATGACAAACGAAATGATTTCAACGTTCTAATTGTTAACTTCCCATGTATTGGCAGTGGCATAGCAATTGCCCTGTCTTTACCCGTTTAATCATCTCGGTTGTTACATTACTCTCAGGCATATACACACCTAGGATAGTATGGGTGTTTTTCGCCATCTTGGATTGTAAACAACAGAGAACCACAGGTCCAGATTTTCAATCAAATAAGCAAAACTTTGATGAGGAATGCAGATAACTAATGTGCATTTGAATTTAAAAGAATAGATTTATAAGATTTGTAACTTATAAATATTAATATTTTTACAAGCTTGATTTTTGAATGTTTTCAAATTGGCATTTGAAGGGGAGGTAACTCTGAAATAGTGTATGTTCTGAAAGATTCTACATGAAATTTAGCTGTTTTATATCTTATGTCGAAAAAACGTACAGAAACCATATCTTTTCTTTCGATTTTCTCAATGCATTTTCTAAAAGCTATCCTCTCAGATTTTATCATTCAATTCTATCAGTTAGTTTAGCTTCTAATCACATAATGGGTTTTTTTCCTGTATAATCCATAAAAAATGTGTTATTTTGTCACCACCTGTAGTTTCATAAAATGCTCAGTGACCTATCATTTTTAATATATTTTTGAACATATCACAATATATACTACGTTTTGTCGACGTATTTTTAATGTATACTCCCCCATACCATATTCACGGGCTTAATAAAAGAGAGCTTCTCACTGCACACTAATTATCAAACATAATAAGGGGGAAGAACTATTGAAATTGACACTACATGATAATGCAAAGCAATTGGCTAAACGCGAGAAAGAAGACATGGATACTTTTTTTCAAATTAACAACGGCCGTCGTGGTCGTCAAATCAAAAATAAGATAATGAATAGCAATGAATACCCATGCTACATAAAGCTTTAAAGACTGAAATGGTGGAAAAAATTGTCCTGCCTCAATGAGAAATATGTTGTTTTCCACGGAGATAGAGCCCCAAACAACATCAATTATCCATGTAAATCATATTACATAAACTGCTTGAATAATGAATTAGGTATTGACAATTCACTTGGAAACTATATATATCCCCATGACACTTACCGAAGAGGAAATCCAGGAAAATCATAGATTCGATCTGTTCTGTTCTGTGCTTTTTTTGGAATTTTAACCAAAGATGACAAACTGGATCTTCCATCACTCTATTGGGAACCTTAACTACATAACATCGATATATTGATGGGTCTTCCAAGTGTTCCAGAAAACCACTTTTCAAAGTATTAACATCAATTTTATCAGTAATCAAAGCCGGCCATCATTGTTAGTGTCAAACTACTAGTACTTATTTTAGAGGTGGCGGGAATCAGATGTGGCAACTAAAAAAATTCTAAAGAAATCTTAGAGTACATACAATCTAAGACTCTTTCAACTTGGAAGAGAACTAAAACATTTTGTCTTTTCTACACTTTACACAAGTATTTCTTATTCATGTGTTATTCCAAACTAAAAGACAAATTGAAAAGAGCTGGCTCTGTTTTGTTTCATAATAAAAGAATAAAAAATGTAAATACAAGTATCTTTTCTTGTGAGGGATAAATGATTTCTTTCATCACTCTGATACAAACAAAACATTCTCTGATACTGATATTATCAAGATGTTTGATTTCTTTTTTGATTTATATCATTTGTTACGATTGGTGATACGTGATTTTTTAACAAACAATCGGCATTCCCATGGTAACCAACTGTGCCGACTTGATCCTTCATTCATATGAGACTGTCGTCGTGCAGGAACTTCTTAGGAAAACAGAAAAGAAGTAAGCAGTATCCTTTAACTTTACTTTCTACAATATGGATGATGCTCTCTAACTAAATAAAATCAACATTTGATGACTATGTTGAACGTATCTTTCCCATCTAACTTGATATGACGGATACAATAGATAAAGTTAAGTCTGCCTGAAATATTCACTTACATCTAGAAACTGGCAATAAGGGTCGGTCGGAAACGACAAAAGAGATGATTCAGCTTCCAGATTGTGAAATTTTCATTTCTATGTAGCAAAATTCCTTCAGCGTCTGCACACGGAGTACATATCTCCCAGTAAATACGATATTCAAGGGCTTACATTTCCTTTCATGCTTTCCTTGATAGAGGGTTGCTAGGGAACTATGAAACCAAGATTTCTAATTGGTGAAGTGGAAATCATTCCTTAGTATAATTTACGGAGGCCAATACGAGTTCGTTGACCGTTATGGAATATAAGTTTCACAGATGATAGCGGATATTGTCTTATGTCGTAACTACAATTCAATCCCCTCTTCCCCCAATGTGACATACCGTATTATCGGGTTTGTACTAATACGAGCAACACGACAGGTGCCATTTGTGGAAAAGCCTCTGCTTGTATAACGGTCACGCTTTTATAATGTGTAACAATAAAATTGAGAATAGAAATGGGGAATGTGTCAAAGAGACAACAACCCGACCATAGAGCAGACAACAGCCGAAGGCCACCAATGGGTACAAGGATGTTTTTCTATCTGATAGATAATGTAAAGGAGTGTGCAAATATCGTCTGATTTCATACTGAATGTTTTGAATTAATAATTGTCTATTAATATTAATGTCATTGCGATCAGCGCATTTTTATGTTATTCGACTTAAGAAGTCAAATCTGTTTAAATTGTTAATGGGCAATGAATGGTCTGTGTGCAAGGTCACTCCAAAAAATGCAAAATAAATCACTTTTCCATCTATAATTTTCTATCATTTTGTTTATCTGACCGATAACTTTCCGTCTGTTTTCTCTGTCAGTTAAGGTGAATTATTTGCATTAGTCGCACATTAGGCCATACATTGACTTACCTTATTCCGATTGAGAGTGCAGTGGGCCGTCTTGTTTTAAGTTTAATCCGTAAATATTCTACAATTCTCACTATGTTCCTTTCAATAGCACTTTCATAGGTTAAAATCATACTTTTGAACACGAACGAAAAAGTATTTGAGTTTAGTACAATGTTGGTGTTCATGATCTTTTATTTTCTGATAAATCTTGGACCTTATCAATCAACATTTGTTGCATGAGTTGTAACAACCAACGTTATATAATTATCTTGAAATCGTGAAGAAACATACTAACTTCTTCTAAATTGTACTTTTAAACTTTTGTTAACTGTTATTTTGAAAAAAAATATGTGCCATTAATTGTTATTAACTAATTAGCTGTTATCTGTTTTCTAAATATTGACATTGTTGTGAACTGTTATTATGAAAAAAATTGCTCCTGCTAACTGTTTTTTGATTTTTGAAATCACTGTTTTCTGTTTTGTCATTTAAGATCATTTAAATTGCTGTTATCGGTTATCAATATTTTAAATTTACTGTTATCTGTTTTGAGCAAAATAAAAAATTATTGACCTGTTAATGGAATCCTTCTTGCCCCCGAATTTTCGAAAGTTCAATAAAACACTAAAAAAAATTATCTAAATATTTCATGGAAGGGCAGACTAGAATTGGTCAGTGAATGGAAACTAGATAACCTAGATAACACACACAAAAATATTTTTTTTTTTAAGTTGAGCATTTTTTAGATCCAAAAGTAAAGTCTGTTGTCAATGATTTTTGATAAAGAATTAAGGGAGAGTTAGTGAACGATGTGTCCTACTTTTCTTTTTTGTTTAACAGCCGAAGGCCATAAATGGGTCTTCAACAAAGCGAGAAAATCCCACACTCGGAGGCGGAATTCAGACCTTTACAAAAATAAGTAAGTAGTTCAGTGAAAATGGACGTCATACTAAACTCCTAAACATATAAATGAACTAAAATTATAAAAACTTACAAGACTAATTAAATATATTTCATGATTACAAATTTAAAAACATATTTCTAAATTCTAATTAAAAATGAGTGATACAAGATTGAACAAAAAAAAGTACCAGTAAGAAATACACCTTTACTTAAATATTTGTAATGGCACGAAGCTTTTAATTTTTGTGTTTCAAACACACCTTCTCTGTATAGTAGTAATGACTCATAACAAAGGTATTTCACTTCACCATTTATTTCATTTTTTGATACTGTGAATTCTCAATGTTATGATATTAACATGTAGCCTTAATAAATATATATATATAAAAAATCGAATCTAAAGCCAGATATATCATACATTTTTTTATATTATACGTTTATAGGACAAAACAATCAACTCAAACACGCCTGAACGTAATATTCGACGGTTTACGATAAGGTAGTTGCCCATTTTTAGACCCCCCCCACCAAAAAAAAAAAAAATACTGTTGCCGGGGGCAGAGATCTAGAGGAAAATTTTTAATATTTTCTTCCCCTTTTTTTATTGGGCCTGCGATTAACAGCAAAAAAAGGCGAGACACTAGGTTCCGATGAACCCTTACGAATTTTTGTTCAAATTTGTGTATTAAATCAGGCCGAAGGTCTTCATTTTTTAATCGTTTTAATTTTTATAGCTAGTATTCGTTATGGTTTTTGCTCGATGTTACAGGTCATACTTTGACTTGCAATTGTTCACATCTTGTTCCTTCTAGTAAGTTTTTAATAGTCATGCATGAAAAACAAGTCTAGGTCGTTTCTTTTATCCA